TAATTTTGAGGAATTTTTTAGTTATGATTAACGGGACAAAATTCCAGGTCACTTTAGCTTAGCACTTTTTAAGAGCGGGCTCCGGCATTTGGATAATAGCGCTTTTAACAGCAGCACTGGATCCAAGACGAAACTAGCGGCAGATTCCTTAGTGCGAAGTGTATATTGCTTATCGAGGTCGAACGTTTCTCAGGTCATCGCTTTGAAGCGCAGTAGGCTGTGGTTGTGTTATATCTGGTTTCGCACTGTTACATCTCAGGCGTAGCATCCTTTTCATAACAGATGCGCTTTTAGCCAAAGTAGTGCTGGTAAATTCGAAAAACGCTCTTCGGTGAGGTCCCTAATTGATTTTCATCAAGTCATCTCACTCACCATTCATTATGATCGGGGAAACATAGGTGGCGAGTTGTCCGGAAAAGAGATCTGGCTTCGCAGTGTGTGTGCTTATTCAGAAGTGTATCGTAGTTTTAGGTGCAAGATAAATATCGCTACGTGGAACAGCGCCGTGCAACACTTCTCAAGCATTGCGCAGAAGGTGTGGAGCATGATTTTTGGAGGTTCACTTCCTGAATTAGAGCAACAGTAGTCAGAACTCAATTCAAGAAAAAGCTGTTGCGCATTCATGAATTTCTTCTACTGTATTCGCGAAATAATGGATTCCGTTTCCGGGATATTGTGTCGATTCATTGATGCGTTAAAAAAAAAAGTGCGCTTGGAGAGCAACGCCTTTTAAACGTGTCCCAGAGTGGCTATAACTAAATTTTTGGTCTTTCTAATTACTAATACAGACAAGCGTCTCATTAGGAATTCGTTTTTTGCGCAGTTTTGTAAATTTTTTGAAAGACCAGGAGGTTGCCATAATACAATTACCGCTCTCATGCCGATGCTTGGAAGTACGTCTCCGACACTGCAATGCAAAACCAGTCCCTCTACGATTCATTCATTCGTTTGTTTCGATGTTAAAATAATACTGACATGTACTGGGCAGTGGAAGTCCCCTGTCATTCTGCCTAAGCAGTCCCGGCGGGCCCACGGGCGATGGATTGCTGTTGACACGTGATGTCACTCGGACCACTTCGCCTCTCATAATCAGTTATGGAAGAGATGCTTTTGTTCGTTACTTTTTCCACGCTGGGGTCTTAGGATAATTCATGTACACTTGCTGTGCTATGGTGTCGTTCGCTGCATCACCACTCCTCTTATTGTGATTAATATACATTATTAAATAGTAGTGATTCATTTTGTGATACTGAAAAATGGAAGTTTTAATAATTTCCTACATGAAGTTTTTTTTTCCAGAACGCCTCTTCTCTCCCTGCATTTTTTACGGGACTTTCGCTGAAACTGCTTTGAAAGACAACTTTTTTTCTTGCAGCTATGGCGTTTGGGATGCGAATACTCGCTGCCAGGCTGCGCGTTCGTCGCTCTGTTTTGGGGCTGAAAAAAAAGATGAAATCTCCAAATTGTGCTTTCGATGTTTTTTGCAATTAAGAAAGCCTCTTGATTTCTTTCCTCTGCTCTTTTTGTTTATGAGTCTTTTTTTTTGAGAAATGCTTTCTGGAAAGAACACAAGGAATGATTTTTTTTGCGAAATGCTCTCTCTCTCCAGTCTTTTCCATTGGTCCCCAGTCATTTTTCTTGACTTTTTTTACTAACTGATAAAAGCCCCTCGATGTAAAAATGGCAAATAATTATGAATTAATTTCCGGTGACATATTTTTCAACAAATACTTTTTCTTAAGTCAGGTCGCTAAAGTAAGTCCACCATCTTCTGCAGCGGAGCAGTTTAAGATGAAATTCTGAATTCTGTAGGATTGAGAAGCCGTTTGTTGGGATATGCAGGTAGGCGTGTGGTATCAAACAGATGAGTGATTTCAGCTCTTTTGATGAAAAGTTTGACAAGCGAAGGTCTCGAGCATCAAGAGGCTGTCGTGCTGCTGCCGCTTCCACTGTTGCTTCGATAAATTGCCTCCGTTTTAACCAAAGAAAAAACTGCTTGATTTGTTTAATTTGCTTCTAAATTTGATATAAGAGAATGTTAATTTCTTGCTGTAGTTGGCAGGTTTCCGAGGCGGCCCTGACTCAAACGAGTTTGGTCGCAGGGCGTTCTGTACGTAGGCTGTTTCGTTTGCTCCAGGAGCCTCGTATTTTCGAGTTTTTGTGCAGCTCGCGTTGCTCGATGTTCTGGCCGTGCAGTGAAGCTGATACTTCCGTTCTTGAGCTGTTTTTATGATTTCTTCTTTTAGCACTTTGATTTACAGTTTGCAATTTTCGTAACTGACTCTTTCACTCGTTGAGCCTGTATTTCACGCTGTGGCACACAATATTTTAACACTCGCAGATAAAAGCCTTATTCGATTTGCGGCAGTACCTTTCGACTTCCAGCACTCTCGCATTTTTATGCATTCCTGTGCAAGGCGTCAGCCGAAAGTGCTGTGATAGGTAAGACAACCAAGCAAGAGATGGCAGGGACATTATTTTACTTCGCCTTGACATTACTTTCCAACACGAGGCGTTCTGAGTCACAAATAGGTTCACACTCTGAAAATTTAAGGAGGGCGTCGCACATCCACCGGCGATTTGTATTTTTTTGTTTTGGGGGAGCGCTTCAAAGAACTGAAACAGTACTGATGGAACATTGTTGGCGGTACGATGCGAAGTTTTGCAGTTGCTGGAGCTGGGTAGTCTGAATAAGGGGGCGTCCGGCTGTGCTGCTGCTGCTGGTGGTGGTGGATTGAGATCATCCGGGATCGGCAGCGAATTCGAGCCATCGGAGGCGGAAGGGGAAGGTGCAGGGCGCGCTGCCTGGGATCACTCTTGCTGGGCGTAGTGCAGCAAAGGCTTATCACATCATCTTTTCACAGGATTTCGACGCTCATCCAGCTCATATCAACGGTCATCGCTCAGTGGGGCAGGCTGCTAGCTCCAGCTGCTGCTACTACTCCGTTCCGCCACTTCCGCCGCTTTGATGAGGAGCAGTTGTGTTGTCCAGGAATTGTCAAGCGGCGACAACCCTCAATCACCAACATCACCTCCCTGGCCCACTACAACATGTTACTGCTTCTCGTACAGCCACCGCCGCCGCCATTATCACCGCTGTCATCACCATCATCATCATCATCATCGTCGTCGTCGTCGAGATTATTGTCCTTATCAGCACCTCTGCCGCGGCAGCATCTGTCCACACTGATCTGGCAGCTTCTCTTCGTTTTTTTGCTCCTTTTTCCGACGAAAGCCGCTTTTGCAGCTAACTTCTGCACGCAAAGAGAGATGGCCTGCGGTGCTCAGGTGCGAACTTACCCTCTGATGACGCGATTTCCAGCGGATCCGGATGGTTCGGGATGGGAGGCGGATGCCGGCTCCGGAATGGACGTGCCGCTCTACGATGAGTTCTTCGCGCCCATGCAGATCTTCGATTTCACTCAGTCGGCCAATCTGACCGATGAGAAAATCTGCGAGTGCGAAAATGAGACGCAGTGCGTACCGGATGATGGGAATATCATCAGGCTGGATGAGATGATAACGCTCGTATTCTGCGGCGACGTGCGTGACCTGTTCAGGCGCCCGTGCCGTGGTGCTCGCAACCTAATCCGTGTGATCGGCCAGATCCACGCATCCGGCGAAGCGCTTCTCTCCGTCACCGAGACGCTGCTTTTCTGCAAATGTGAACGAGGCTATCAGCGGATACGCGTCGAAGCGTGGCGCAATGATTTGTTCGCGTTCGTCTATCAGTGCTCATCATAGCGATGGTTGGCCACTTTTCCACTGCTTCATGCACAGAGCGCTGAGCCGCCACTGCTTTTTTTTTGGCGTTTTTGAAAGTGCAAAAGAGATGCATTGTGTCAAAAGAGCGAGGGAACTGACTAGCAAACTTCCTCTGTGCGTTTTGAGTTGTCCAAGTACTTCCGGCTTCACTGGGTCGTCTTGTCGGGAGTACTGCGAGCCCCGATCCTGCACAGTGCATGCTATATTCATAATCTCGACTGCTCTGTATGTGTATGCAAGATTGTGTGTGCTGCGGTCAGAACACGCTCTTAAAAGCACCTAAAGGATCAGGAGACCAAACGTTAAGTCGGTAGAATTCACGAACTTCCGATGTACTTTTTACTCCGTCAGTGCAGTAAAGTGAGATATCAAAGAGCGGTTCAAAAGGATTATGAGCTGAATACACCGCAAAATGATCATTGCAGAAAAAACCCAGACTGGGACGCACCAGGCTTTTCGGATGCGTTTTTGCACTAAACTCGCAGATCGCTATTAGCAGGAATGATCCCTACGCTGTAGCCTAACATATGGGGTCATTTTGGCCGTGCTTTGATCTTTTCCGGCATGCAGGAGGAAGGGCGTCAGTTGGAATGAAAGTGGTGCACTGTAGAGCCGCACGGACATCCAGGTGCATGATTACCGGTTTTTTGCATGAAGTCAGGTCGTTTTTTTCGGTAAATGCTG